GAGAGACAGCTGGTATCTCAAAAAACTCGTTAGTCGGGACACTCGTAAGTCAAGGCCCCACTGTATTTTTTAAAAAGAGAGAGAAAGATGAAAAAAGAGAGAGAGAGAAGGAAGGAAGGAAGGAAGGAAGGAAGGAAGGAAGGAAGGAGGAATAGGAAGATTCAATATCAGAAAGATTTAAATTCTTAAAATCTCTAAATTTAATGCTATCTTCATAGAAAACAAAAGCTTTGGGGGTAAGAGATTAGACAAGCTGATTTTAAAGTTAATATGAAAAAAGCAAAAATAGCCAGAGAAATACTGGAGGGAAAAAAGACCAATGAAGGAAGGCTTGTTCTACTTGATGTCAAGACACATTATAAAGCTATAATAATTATGAATAGGCAAATCATAGAAACTCCATAAATATATATTAAAGTTATAACTTGGTGGATGACCATGGAGTCATTTCAAATATGGAGGGAAAAAATGAATTTTAAAACAAATAATATTTAGACAATTAGGGTAGCAACATGGAAAAAAAAGTTAAATCCATTATCCATTTTACTCACTTTCTACCAACTTAAATTCCAGATGATAAAATACTTAAATGTAAATACTAAAAACATAATAGTAATAAAATAGAACATGAGAGGATGATTTTTATGATCTTAGAGTAGAATACCTTAGTGTGACACAAACCCCAAAAGCCCTAAGGGACTAATATGACTGCATAAAAATCTTGCATAGCAAAAACTAGTATAAATAAAAATTCGAATGACAAAAATAAAATATATTTATATAATTTAGATTAGATCACCAAGGATTCTTTTGTCTAATAAATAAAAATCTACATATCCATCGAAAAAAAACCAACAGTAAAATGGACAAAGAATATAAAGTTAACAAAAAGGAATATAATTGATGTTACAATGTGCAAAGGTATGCAATCTCACATGAATGATACAATATAAAAGTACAAGAGATAAGTTTTGTTATGTATATTTTACCATGACAAAAGAAGTGCAAGAGATAGTGTTTTTTAGCTATCAGAATGACCAAATTCAGAAAGTTTTTTTTACTGTACTGTGGTGCAGAGGAATATAAGAAAACAGAATGTGGTGAGAATACAAACTTATAAATGTTCAGTTATTTGACCCAGAAATTCCATTTATAGGAATTTACCCTATAAACATTTTCAAATGTATAAAAATGAGACATGTACAAAGTTATCCTCTGCAGCATTGTTTGAAATGGCAAAACTTAAATATCCATCCACATGTCAAAGAGAAAGAAGCAACATTTATATAGATATAATTTCTAAGTACCAGAATAATAAATAGCTCATACTTCCCTTTGTGTATTAAAAGGAAATATACATGTGTGTTTCTACTTACATTTATTTATATATACAGTATGTGTATAAATATATATACAATATATTTATATATATAACCCTTACATGTATACACACACACATAGATGCTTGTATAGGTTAAGTAATATCTCTGAAGAGATACAAAATAAATTGGTAATACTGGCTGCCTTCAGGGAAGAGAACTGAGTAGTTGAGAAGATTTTTTAAACTGTATAAATGTATTATCTATACAAAATAACACATTAAATTGAAGAATCATAACTTCTGATAGAAAGTAGGAAGAATGTTACCTAAATCAATTTTTCTTGTTAAAATCCTTGAACAGTTCTCCATCTCCAAACTTCTAATCCTGACATCCAACATTTTCCTATATGGTATCATTCTTCTTTTCAAGTATGTCAACTATGCTCTCCTTCCTGCCCCCCAAAAATATCTTGCCTCTAGTCAAATTAGACATCTTTTCTCACATTTTACTAAAAATTTCTTTAAGCCATAAATAAGCAATGTTTGACATAATAAAGTTATTTGCATCAAACATGAAAAATGTCAAGAGTATATGAATGAAAAACTTTAGCCCCACCCATCTCAAAAATTAAGTCACTTCAGCTATATGATGGACAGGATGTCCTAAAGGGAAACTTGGGTAAAGGAATGTCAATAGATTCCTTATGGTGCTGTCCACAGCTACAATCCATACATATAATTCTCCCAAAATAATAATTAGCATTTGGGATTATGGGAGAGGGTCAATTTATCTTCTCAGTAAGGAAAGTCCCTGCTTTATTTTTCGTTACTCAAAAAAGCAGAAAGCAAAAATAAGATTCCTACTAGACTTCCCCCCCCCAAAAAAATATTTGTTTTTCTCCTCTGTAAGTCTATTCAGGCAACAATGAATGGCTTCCCTAGTGAAAACTACCAACATGTAAATAATTTACATTCATGAAATGGGGTCATGATCATGACTTAGGAGGTAGAAGATTAGACAGAATAAAATTTACTTGATTTCAACGTCAATGTATTATTAAAATGACCGCAGAAGAACTCCTGTGGCCAAGTTCCATAAACCTTACTAAACTAATGGTGACTTTTACTGTGCAAAAACCTGTTTTCCCACAAAATAGGCTCCTTACCTTTCACCCAGAACAATGGGCAATTTTAAATGAAGATCTGTGGATCTTCTCACACCAGACAAACCTAAACTAGAAACAAAGAGCTACTTCTCTCCATATCTGGCTTCCCTCCATCATCTCTACAATACTGCTGCATCATAAGGAAAGGCTATTATTAGTTTATATTGGATATAACTTTTAATCCTTCATAAATATTTCTGATGTAACTTAGAATGGCAATAATTTTTCTGCTTCTTGATCTTAGAGAATAAAAATTAGGCCTGAATATATGTAAGAAATGAGTTATGAACTCTGAAAGTAGAACTTTTAATGCCTTACATATGGAAATTGTTTCAAATCATGGAAACTGAAATGTAAGGTTACAGGCCAACCAGTTGCTACTCATTTTCTAATTAAATTTATGTGTAACTTAAGATTGGAGACAACATATAAGCCTGTAAATGATTGCTTATCCGTACCAAGATTTCTATTACTTTAATAGATTTTTGTTTGAACAATGTCCAATGATTGCTTTGCAATACATATTGCTCCTTAGAGAATTAACATTGTAGTGAGATAGGGGTTATTATTTTTCCGCGCACTTAAGGTATCCATGCAATCTCTACATAAGCAAGTCCACGCAAGGTCTCCTCGTTTCCAACCTGATTTTGCCATTTTGCATACCATTCATTGCTTCCCCCAAGTAAAACTCACCTCACCGACACAGGCCGTTAGTAGGGATAACGGTGATGATCTATGAGCAAAAGTCTAGGTGTAGCAATCTTCCTATTGGACCTAAAGAGGCAGAGGCATCATCCCGCATTTCGAAAATGACATCCTGAAAGAGAAACCGAGTCTCCAACCAGCAGCTGGCAGCCCACTATGAAGGGGGCAGTGAGACTCCCACGCCTGACAACAGCCTTGGCCTGACCGCTCAGGCTGGACTCGGCCCCAACCCGGGCAACGCCCTGTGAGCCAGGTACACACTACCCGGGAGAGAAACAAACTGGTTTCTGAGCCCCTTGGAAACGGCGGGGCGGCAGCAGGGGGAGTGCCTCGGAGGCTGCCTCTCCAACTTCAGAGCGGGTGGCCGGTGGCCGCG